AAATAAATAAATAAATAAATAAATAAATAAATAAATAAATAAATAAATAAAAGGGCTTAGCACACATTAAGCATTTGATAAAAAATAGTTGTCAAATTCTACCAAATGCTGTTAGTGTTACTTGCTTTCCATTAATCAGGCTGCCTCCGTGCCTACCTCTATGATTTTCTTTTTATTGCTTCTGCTTTTCCAAATCTTTGATGCCCCTCTCATATCATCCTTCCTTTCCACTCTCATCCTCCATACAAAACATGCATTTCTGTGCTCTTTCCAGTATTCAGAGATGTCAGTCTTTATTGACCTCTCCATTATATGCTATCTTGTTATTGCTTATTAATCTTGCAGTTTGAAACCTCCCTGAGATACAACAGCTTAAGCATCCTTTTTTTTTTTATCTTCTTCGGAAGGAGAATTTCCGGAAGGCTCCATAGCCAAAGCCAACATGATGCTGTTGCTGTTGTGAGCTAGGACAGCTTAGTTCTCTATTGACCTTCTCAAAGTTGACACTAGAGTGGCTGACTGGGTTATTTATTTATTTTCAGTCAACTTTATGAAAGTTAGATTTCCTGAGAAGAAGGAACCGTGCTTGAGAAAATGGTTCCTCCTAAAAATGGGCTCTAGGCAAGCCTGTAGAGTTCAGAGTTCCTCCAGGTCTTCTGCTTCAGCATCTGCTTTCAGGTTCCTGCCCCAGCTTCTGGGTGATAGACTGTAGGTAAACCCTTTCTTCCCTAAGTTGCTTTTGGTCATGGTGCTTTATCACAGAAATAACTAAGACAGAGCATTTAGGTGGCTGCTCGGATGAGATTGGCGGACCACTGAATCAAACTTGTCACCTGTCTGTTACGTGCTGTACAATAGGACCACAGAGAGAACTTACCTATCCTGGCTCAAGGCAAGGGCAGCTAAGGTGGAGACCACGGTCCCCAGGACCCCAGCAATTGTCCACCAGGGATTCTGGATCAGGAGCCCTATGAAGATGATGAGCCCACTGAGGGGGTTGTTGACAAGCATCACCTGAGCTGTTCCCCGCAGGACCCAGTCTAGGAACTGGAAGGCCAGGGGCTTATCTGCAAGAGACAGACAGAGCCATCAGCGGGCACAGCTTGGGTATAGGACCACTGGTTGGCATAGAAACTGAGGCACACAGGGATGCCCCAGCCAGGGTATTTCTCTTTATTCAGCCTGGCCTGGGGTGGGAGAGTGAAAGGGTTGGGAGTGGGTCTTGGCACCCAGCCCAGGGCTCTGAGTGGCCTAGCAATTGCTGTACAGCAGGTGGTAGTTTTTGCCATACAGACTGAGGGACCATGCTGAGACCAATTTAAAGCAGTTCCAGCCATTGGCTTGGTTGGCAAGGAGCCCCAGGAGCATTCCATGGGAAATTTATTGGTCCAGGGGAAGAGGTGGAGAGGGAGGTGAACTCTCGCTTTGTGTAGTGCTGTGTGACTCAGTTGAGGGATGGTAGCTGAGCAGCAAAGAAAGTAGCTCCAAGAAAGGATGTTGGAAAAGAAATTGTTAGAGCCCAGCTGTGAAAATCATTATTAAATTGGGGCCTAGAAGAAACCAGGTGTAGGAGAGGGGACATACATTCTGCCTCCCCTGGTTTGGTTTCCAGGACAACCATGCTGGTGGGGGGCAGGTAGGGACTGTTGGCGAGAGTGGTGTTTGCTAAGGCATTAAAGTTCGGAAAGCAGGTAAAAGGAAAGAACTCTGGAGCTTGGAGAGGGTGATGCTGATCTTTCCTTGGCACATAATCGGCAAAATAAATGGCTGTGGAACAAGGGGAGGAATGAGCATGCAGCTATTTGGGAAATGGCTTGCATGTTACTAATTTGTTTGGCCTGTATCGATTCCACACAGGGATGATCGACTGGCAAAGGACTAAAATTAATAGAATGTATTAATTATAAAAGGAAATGACAGATTCATTGACTACATACCCTCCTGGGGTCAACTCAGCTTCCCTTTACTGTGTCAGTTCTTGCCATGAGAAAGTGAGGAAGCAACCTCATTGTCCAGGCTGGAGGAAAGGTTGCCTCCGGCCTGCCCCTTGCTCTTTCCTGGAAACCTGCTTACCTTTCAGCCAGTTTCTGTATTCCTTCATGTCACCAGTGAGATAGCCCACAGCTTGGAAGAGGCTGAACCCCCCCCGGCCTGCAGAAGCCCTCCGGGACACCTCACTCTCTCTCCTTTTATTCCTTTCATTGGGTTTTTCAATCTTCACTATGTGGCTGTCTTCATCAGATGACCGGAGATCCTTCATGGAAAAGAGAGGAGAAAATATCAAATAATAAGCCTTTCATGTACTGTTCTTTCTTTGAGAGAGGGTCTCTTTTGTAGCCCAGGCTGTCCTTGAACTCTGTATAGATCTGGTAAGCCACCTTGTGCCCACCATCCTCCCCACTTTGTCTTCTGAATGCTGGGATTATAAGCACTTGTTATACAACTTGGATTTAAATGATGTGTCTTTTTGAGAGTAGGGACATTGGGAACAGAAAGCGTTGTCAGGATTTTTGACAGAGATGTGGAATTGTGAAACAAAAGATGAGACTTGCACCTATTGTCTAAAGCTGCACCCCATGTGAACCCGCCCTTCCCAGGACTATTAAAGGTTCGTTCTGCACAAAGGTTTTCTTAATGATTTGTGACATGGATTCCTCTTGGCAGTTTAATGATGCCTACAGACTTCTTTCCATAATAAACACTTTGGAAATGTATAAAACAAAATAAGTAAGTGACAAAGAAAATTATATTGAAATGCAGTGATTACAGTGTTTAAAATAATCATGGTTCCTAGCTCTATCTAATGGCAACACAATTTAAAATCAGTGATGGGTGGATATGTGGGACCTCCTCACTCCAACTCAGGACAATTCTGTAAGGCTATCTCAGATTCAAAACCCACCACAAGATCAACAATGGCCTTCATTGTGACTGCTGCATAGCTCAGTTTCTCCTTTTGCTGAATCCTGCTGCTCTTTCTCATCTTTAAAAGTTGTCTCGAAGCACACTCCAGTAAACTTCTTACTTTCAAATCTTTTTAAGTCCTGGGCAATGTGGCTCATGACAGCTTGAATGGAAACCTCAGGTTCTACCAATTTGACTGTGGCTCATTGTGTGTATTATTTGTAACTGAAGTAAATGCTAAAATCCATGAAGGTTAGTAGATATAATGATAGATTTTTTTTTCCTCATCCCAGCTAATCTGCTCATCAATTTCATATGTGGACCTCTTGGTCAAGACTTCTTTCTTTAAAGCTTTGATTTTCACTGTGGTAGCTCATAAGACAAACAGCTACTGAACAGTTGAAACGTGGCTGGATCTCAATAAACTAGGAATAGATGAAAAATTCCTAAGCTTGATAAACAACATTTCCTAAAAGACCCATGAGTGACAATACATGCAATGGCGAAAGATTAGAAATCTCTTTCTCTAAGACCAAATGCAGAACAAGGATGTCTGCTCTTGCTGTGGCTACTCAACATTGTGTTCTAGCACAAAAATAGGGAAGGAAATGAAACAAAAGTAATAGATTATTTAGAGGTATGAATAGATTTAGCAAAGTTATAGATTCAAATTTATTTTTATGCCCTGGTATTTATAAAATCTAAAATTAAAATTAAGAAAACAATTTTATTCATGATAGCTCAAAAAGTAGAACATATTTTTGGATAAATTTAACAAAAGATGTGTAAATGTTACTCACAGAAAACTATAAAGGTCAAAACAAATGGAAAGACATCCCATGCTCATGGATTGGAAAATTTAGTCTTATTACAATAGCAATATTTCCCAAATTTATCTACAGATTTAATATGATTCTCATCAAAGCCCAAGTCATCTTTTTTTTCTATAGAAATGGAAAAATATGATCTAAAAATTCTTATGGGAATATACCAGGTCTTAAATCATCTCTCAGCCCCTTGGCCTCTGACCCCCCACTTAAAAACCCTCTTCATGGGGTCAGTTCTCACCTTTTCCTCAGGCATTTCCAGCAGGGGAAGGGCTGGATGTGTGTCCTGGGAGCCTGAAGGCCAGGTAGGGCTGCTTAGCTCAGATTCGTACAGTTTATATCTGCTGGAAAGAGGCTCTGGCAAGAGAGGGCTGTTGTTGTTGTCAGACATCTCCTTTGGGGGGTGATCACTCATCTGTCATATGACTGGTAAGAGAGAATGGGAAAGAATGGTTAAATGGGAATGGCCACAAAGGACTTAGCTAAGGTTGGACAGAAACATGAGGAGGCATGGCATCTGACCTGGAGGGGTAAGCAGTGACATATATATATATGCATATGACATACATACATATTATATATATTATATATTATACATATATAATATACATATATTATATACATATTATATATTATATACATATTATATTATACATATTACATATATGTATAATATATACATATTATATATGTATATATTATTATGTATGTCATATGCATTTACATAATATACATCACACATATATCTATATTATATACATAAACATCATATACATACATATATTTCATTTATTCCACTGTTTGAGACAGACTCTCATGTTACCAGGCTGGCCTTGAACTTGGCCAAACATGACCTTGGACTTCTTTACCCTTTGAGTTGTACATGATCCAGTGTTTTGAGCTTGCTAGTGGAACACTCTACTAATTGAGCTATATCCCCAGACCCAGGTGGGATTTCATGTGCCTATAGTCAGTGCTGCTAGAGGATACTGAGGCTAATCCTCCATCCATAACAGTGTTACCTTTAAAAATCCCCATTCTTCCATGTCCAGAACAAAGTTCTTTTTTGTTGTAAAGATTTGCCTGAGCATCTACACCAAGTCCCTTTCATGTTTATCATTTACATGTTTTTCCCTCTGCCATTCATGTTGTCCACTGTGCTATGTCTGTATGGAAGTCAGCTGGAAATTTATTTTTACCATGGTAAATGCACGCAGAATCCAGCACTGATGAGGGTCTATAGAAACACATCCTCTTTGTTGCTAGGGAAATCATGTTGTTTCATTTGGCCTCTACTCCCCCTTCTTTCTCCTGTGTCCCGTGTGACTACTCCTGTCTCTTTCTTCTTGTCCTTCCTCAGAGCAACACAGAGATACAAAGCCCTGGTATGTGCTATTAGAAACTGTGTACAACCATAATGCAGGTTCTTTCCCTTCCATGTGGGCCTCCTTCCTTAGGACAGACTGCAGATCCCTAACAACATGCTAGCTACCATTCCTTGTGTTCACTGTTGTAGGTGCTGCTCAAGGACTGTCCAAGTCCCTTCTGGAGGGGATCATGATCTGTCTGTCCTGTGTCAGCACCACTTCCTGGTTATCTCCTTTCCTGATCCCACTGAAAGGAATTCTGGTCCTGTACTCTTGCTTCCAGACCACCTCTCCCCTTGTCTGTGCTGTAGCTATCTTCCCTGTGGCTCACATTGTGTCCCTCTCTCTAGTGCTCACTGCTCTTACTGACTTCCCAGTCTGCCTCAGCAAAGGCTTTAGGTGTTGCAACCAGGCATCTTCCTCCTGACACTAATTCAATGCCCATTGTTCTCTGGTTTCTCATCTCCAGGAATTCTTTTCTTTTCATCTTTCTGGTCACCAGCTGTCACAGTCAAAGCATGGATTTGAAACTATTCATTTATGAATTCTCAAAAGTCAGATCTCTCTTCTGGTGCCTCCCTCTTACACTTTTCAACTCACTTGCTCAAATGCTCCTTATGATCCGGCTCTTTGACTTCCTGGAGACCTTGGACCCAAAGACTCTACCAGCCAGCTGTCATCCCTCTCCTTGTGACCAAGTTAGGAGCCATGGCTTGTCATTTATCTCTCTGATTCCCTTGTTCCTCTCTCCCTCTGTAATGCTTGTGTAGTGAAAGCCCAAATGGTAGCCTTTTTCAAAGGTGCCTCCATTAAAAGATTTTTCTCACTTTAAGCCATCCCACAGAAAAACACGGAGTCAGACTTACTGGTCTCTCTCCAAACCTAGCAATTCTGTCCTTAAAAATTATCCTTATGTTCACAGTCACTGTCAGCTCGTTATCACCATCTCTTGCCTCTTCTTGGTTAGTGCCACCCGGACATGTCTGATTCTCTCTTGATTCTCCAAGCCATACTCTAAAGAGCAGTTTTGTAAGAACGAAAAAGCCCACCAAAGATGGTTCTACACTTAAACCCTCAAGGAAGACGGGCCTGGTGCATCCCAGCATATGGGAGGCTAAGACAAGAGGATCCCTGCAACTTTGAGCTTGGGTTATATTAGGACCAGCCAGCCAGAGACTGTCTAAAATAACAAACCCCAACCAACCACCCTTATTAACCTCCCTCAAAAACCCCTCAGGTGACTTCAGCTCACATCTTAAACACGCAAGCAAGGCTCTATGTCACAAATTCCTACAAGATTTAGCTTGTCGAAAGCTGCCCTGGCCCATGGCTCTGGGTTCCACACAGGACTGTTGTTGGTCAGTGGGTGGTGTTGGGCACTTTCCACAGAAGTGGCACTGCAAGGCCAGGCCTGTGGTTTGGAAGGTCTGTCTGTCCTTTGCTCCTTAGTTGGTGGGGTTTGTTTCAGTGTTGTCAGAGAAGCCTTCTCAGACCCACCTTGGATCAGAAACATCCACCAGTCGTGACAGGAGGGCTCTGCCTCCTGAAAATGCACAGCTGGCGGAGTGGGGAGGGGCAGTCGCTTAAGCCATTTGGAGGCTTTGGAGCCCCACAAGGATTTGTAAAGTTTTACGTAGAAGCAAATACTGCCGGGGCCCAGGAGTTTTCCTCAGAGCTGATTTGTAGATTTTGTCTAAATCTCCCAGAACTCAAGATTCATCAGGACAGTAATCTGTTCTCCTTACTTCAGTGACTCCTGGCACAGCTCTTGGCAACATAGTTAACGCTAAGTGTAAAGAGGAGCGGCAGGAAAAGGGCAGGAGGCAAGGAAAGAGGAAGAGTTTTTAAGTAAGACTCCATGTGACAGCAAAAGTGAATACATGTCCCAAGAAAGCATCACAAATCCTTGTAGATCTTGAGAGTCTCTGAATGGCTTAAGAAAAGGGTGGCCACCTCCCATCTCTGCACTTGAAGCAGGCAGAGCCCTGGCAGTGATTAGTACATGCCTGTGCTCCTTGGATCATCTCATTAAAGTAGAGCTGATGTGACTCTACACATATAAAATTCAGCCTCTGTTGGTGGGTTCCTCTCCCTGATCTGACTCTGCAGGTGGGCTCCAGTGAGGGGTGGACACACTTATGTGGAGGGGCATACTGGAAAGGTTTTTCAAGCAAGCAGAAGTCACAAGGACACTGGGAATCTGTCCCCCAGTGTTCTCTCCCCCTCTAGTGGCCCAAAGGTGACACAGCATCCCTGGGCCCTTGGTAAAAATTTCAACTGAAACAATAGTAAGGGAGACAGATACCCAGACACAAGAGCCATCATGCATCTAGGTGGACTAAAGATGTTCTGGAAAGATCTGTGCAAGATCCACCGATGGTATTGTTGAAGAATAATAAGTTTTTTTTTAAACATTGTATTTTATTGACTCCAAGTCGCTGTCAAGTATAGGGTATGTATTGATCATTTTGTACAAGAAAGAAGAAAATCCTTCCTATAAAAATGATTTTATGCATCTTGATTGATGGGCATGTAAGAGAAGTACTCGCCTAAAAGGCACTTTCTTCTTTGCCCAAGACCCTACTGTGTGTAGAAGATGTTCTTTTAGAAGAATCAAGCTACAGAGAAACAGGTAACAATATTTTTGCATGTGACTACAGGGCCACCTGTGCTTGCCAGAGAAACCTCACCTTTGACTGTGGTATCTACAGAAAGCAGGGACTCACAGCACTGGCTGTTTGTTGCAATGTCTAGATTAGATCTGGCTCCCAGCACCTCTCCTGTCACTCTCAATGCCTTGTTGGGACCTGGCTGAGTTGGGCAGAGCCTGTGCTGATCCTAGGCTCCAGCCCAGGCCCTCAGCCCAGCAATCAGTTTCATAAGCCCACATGGCCTCCGCAGGAACGTTGGGCTGTATCTCCTCTAGGGAACACAGTGTTCCCCTGCTGTGGGAATGTTTATCCTGTTAAAACACGGGGAATTTTGGCTGGAGGGCAGTGGTGAGATGCGAGGCAAAAATGGCCTTGTAAAGAGAAGGCCCCTGTGCTCGGAAAGTGCTCTAGCCACTCACACTGTGAGGGCCTCCACGTTGCCCTCTTCAAAGGGCAGGCTAGGATTCCTAGGACAATAAAAGTGCTGACTTAGGTTGCTGGCACACAGTGGGTAGTCTGTGCTTTTAATTTTCCTTCTAGTGCTTCCAAACTTAAGAGAAGGATGGCTAGAGTAATCAGACCAAGGACAAGAAATCTGATCTAAAACAGAATCGTTCTCTCTTCTTCCCTCCTTCCCTCCCTCTCTGCTTTCTCTTATACTTTAAGCATATAAAATAATTAGTGTCATTATGCCGTTTACATACATATGTATCATGGCATTTTGCTCATATTTTCCCAACCTCAATGTTCTCCCTTACCCCTTGCCAGTTCCCATCCTGGCCCCAAATAGTTCACCTTCCTCTTTTCTGTTTTATTCTCCCCCCACCCCCCCGCCCCCCGCACACCAGGTTCTAAGGTTCTGCCTGAAGGAAAATGTGCTATTTTGTCTTTCTTTTCTACAATTATCCCTTTCTCCCCTCCCTATCATAGTCTTCCTTCTACTTTCACGGGTATATATATAAATCTAGATTCTGCATCTGAGAGAAAACACGTGATATTTGTGTTTCTGAGTCTCAGAGTCTTTCAAAAGTCTCCCTAAGGCGTCCCCACTTGGTAGAGCTGAATGTGGATCTCTGCCCCAGCCATGTCCTGACTGAGGGCTTTAGAGCCTGTTCCCAGCCCTGCTTGGGCCAGTCCATTAAACTGGCTTCCAAGAACACATAATGATCTGTTTGGCGTGTTCTGCCCCTCCTTGGCTGCCCTGCACCTTCTCTTCTCCCTCAGAAGTACTGACAGAAAGGCTATTTGGATCAGCCCCACATCGCTCCATAAAGCTAGGCTTCCCTAACAGGGCGGCTTCTCCATTTTCTTTGCAAGAGCCCTTTTTATTGGGTACCTACTGTGACTCATGGCCTTTCCTTAAGTCGAAAGCCCCCCAGGCCTTGTCTAAGAAGAGC